AAGTACTTTTACTGCACAAGTACACACAACAAGTACTTCTACTGCTACACAACAAGTACTTTTACTGCAAAAGTACACACAACAAGTACTTCTACTGCGAAAGTACACACAACAAGTACTTTTACTGCACAAGTACACATAACAAGTACTTTTACTGCTACACAACAAGTACTTTTACTGCACAAGTACACACAACAAGTACTTTTACTGCAAAAGTACACACAACAAGTACTTCTACTGCGAAAGTACACACAACAAGTACTTTTACTGCACAAGTACACACAACAAGTACTTCTGCTGCTACACAACAAGTACTTTTACTGCACAAGTACACACAACAAGTACATCTACTGCACAAGTACACACAACAAGTACTTTTACTGCTACAAAACACGTACTTTTACTACAAAAGTACACACAACAAGTACTTCTACTGCGAAAGTACACACAACAAGTACTTTTACTGCACAAGTACACATAACAAGTACATTTACTGCTACACAACAAGTACTTTTACTGCACAAGTACACACAACAAGTACTTTTACTGCAAAAGTACACACAACAAGTACTTCTACTGCGAAAGTACACACAACAAGTACTTTTACTGCACAAGTACACACAACAAGTACTTTTACTGCTACACAACAAGTGCTTTTACTGTAAAAGTACACACAACAAGTACTTTTACTGCAAACGTACACACAACAAGTACTTTTACTGCAAAAGTACACACAACAAGTACTTCTACTGCAAAAGTACACACAACAAGTACTTCTACTGCGAAAGTACACACAACAAGTACTTCTACTGCACAAGTACACACAACAAGTACTTTTACTGCTACACAACAAGTACTTTTACTGCAAAAGTACACACAACAAGTACTTCTACTGCAAACGTACACACAAGTACTTTTACGCACAAGTACACACAACAAGTACTTCTACTGCACAAGTACACACAACAAGTACTTTTACTGCTACAAAACAAGTACTTTTACTGCAAAAGTACACACAACAAGTACTTCTACTGCACAAGTACACACAACAAGTACTTTTACTGCTACACAACAAGTACTTTTACTGCAAAAGTACACACAACAAGTACTTCTACTGCAAACGTACACACAAGTACTTTTAGTGCACAAGTACACACAACAAGTACTTCTACTGCACAAGTACACACAACAAGTACTTTTAGTGCTACAAAACAAGTACTTTTACTGCAAAAGTACACACAACAAGTACTTCTACTGCGAAAGTACACACAACAAGTACTTTTACTGCACAAGTACACAAAACAAGTACTTTTACTGCTACACAACAAGTGCTTTTACTGCACAAGTACACACAACAAGTACTTTTACTGCAAAAGTACACACAACAAGTACTTTTACTGCTACACAACAAGTGCTTTTACTGCACAAGTACACACAACAAGTACTTTTACTGCGAAAGTACACACAACAAGTACTTTTACTGCACAAGTACACACAACAAGTACTTTTACTGCTACACAACAAGTGCTTTTACTGCAAACATACACACAACAAGTACTTTTACTGCAAAAGTACACACAACAAGTACTTCTACTGCAAAAGTACACACAACAAGTACTTCTACTGCGAAAGTACACACAAGTACTTCTACTGCACAAGTACACACAACAAGTACTTTTACTGCTACACAACAAGTACTTTTACTGCAAAAGTACACACAACAAGTACTTCTACTGCAAACGTACACACAAGTACTTTTACTGCACAAGTACACACAACAAGTACTTCTACTGCACAAGTACACACAACAAGTACTTTTACTGCTACAAAACAAGTACTTTTACTGCAAAAGTACACACAACAAGTACTTCTACTGCGAAAGTACACACAACAAGTACTTTTACTGCACAAGTACACACAACAAGTACTTTTACTGCTACACAACAAGTACTTTTACTGCACAAGTACACACAACAAGTACTTTTACTGCAAAAGTACACACAACAAGTACTTTTACTGCTACACAAGTATTTTTACTGCAAAAGTACACACAACAAGTACTTCTACTGCAAAAGTACACACAACAAGTACTTTTACTGCACAAGTACACACAACAAGTACTTTTACTGCTACACAACAAGTGCTTTTACTGCAAAAGTACACACAACAAGTACTTCTACTGCGAAAGTACACACAACAAGTACTTCTACTGCACAAGTACACACAACAAGTACTTTTACTGCAAAGGTACACACAACAAGTACTTCTACTGCAAAAGTACACACAACAAGTACTTCTACTGCGAAAGTACACACAACAAGTACTTCTACTGCACAAGTACACACAACAAGTACTTTTACTGCAAAAGTACACACAACAAGTACTTTTACTGCAAAAGTACACACAACAAGTACTTCTACTGCAAAAGTACACACAACAAGTACTTTTTCTTACACACACACACACACACACATTCATACTCACAGTGATCAGGGTCTGTTTTTCTCGGCGGAGGGACACGTCGCTCTGCCTCCTCCATGGTCCTGGATTTGACCTGGTTTAGTCCTGGTTTAGTCCTGGTCTCGTCCTTGTTTAACCCTGATTCAGACTCGGTCTAGTCCTGGTCCTGGTTCAGAACGAGTCTAATCCTGGTCTAATCCTGATCTAGTCCTGGTCTAATCCTGATCTAGTCCTGGTCTAGTCCTGGTTTAGTCCTGGTCTTGCCCTGGTCTGGTCTGGGTCTTGAGTGGGATTGAGGCCACAGTGAGAGTTGCTGGTGTCAGGCTGCAGGTTCTATTTCTGGACTAGACTCAGATTCAGTCCAGGGTCTGAGGAAAACCCCTCAGAGCTCGAGGATCAGGAACAAACACATTCCGCTCGCCTCTCCACAGACCTGACTCTTACCTGTCTCCTCACCGGGCCGAGGCGGTTTAAAGCTCCTGTTTTAGACTCTTCTCTGATCTGTTCCAACGGTACAAACAAAGCTGCAGTTTGTTTTGTTTCATTCACATGTTTGAGTAAATCTTTATTATTATTCCATCCACATCTCCAAATCTCAAAATGATCTGTTCCACCTTATGATGTCATGAAGTGGTAGTTTTCAAGTGAATTTAGACAATCAATTGATCCACAAGGGAAATTATTTGAACACATCAGAATATAATAGAATAACAAAGAGTAAACATATAAATGGTAATAATAAATTCTAAATAAGTAGCAAAAAAAAAAAGCAACATACAAGTGTCAAATAATAATTATAAATGTAAATGTAAATGTACAAGTGAAAATAAAATAGAAAAACAAGTAATAAAAAATAAAATCTCAGCTTTGTACAAGAGATTACAGGAAGAAAATTACCTGCCACATAAGTGTGAGTTGTACAGTTGTAGGGAGTAGGAAAGACAGACAAGTCCAGGCTCCACAGACTGAGAGAACATCTCCAGAACCTTCTGCTCACACTGAAAGACCTGAGCTTTCTCAGGAAGTCAAGTCTCCTTATGATCTTCTAGTCCACAGCATCACAGTCGTCCCTCCAGTCCATTCTGTTGTTCACCTGGACACCGAGGTCCTTCTATCAGTCTCTATTTCCACCTCATGGTCCTGGATGCTCCTCTGGTTTCCTCTTCCTCCTCAAGTCTTCACCAGGTCCTTGGTCTTGTCAATGTTCAGGAGCAGATGGTTTCCTTGGGACAACTCCACAAAATCTGTAATCAGTGTCCTGTCCTCCAGCTCCTGTCCATCTCTGATACACCCCAGCACCTGTCCCAGCTCCTGTCCCAGCACCTGTCCCAGCACCTGTCCCAGCTCCTGTCCCAGCACCTGTCCCAGCTCCTGTCCCAGCACCTGTCCCAGCTCCTGTCCCAGCACCTGTCCCAGCTCCTGTCCCAGCTCCTGTCCTAGCACCTGTCCATCTCTGACTCACCTGACCGCTGCAGAGAACTTCTGCATGTGCAGGACTCAGAACGGTGATGAACATCAGAGATGAACAAAGTGAACAGAAACAGAGACAGGACTGAACCCTGAGGGACTCCTACATCCCTGACCACAGTATCAGACAGGGTGCCCCCTGTCGCACGTACTGAGGCTAACAGGGAGTCAGTAATCCAGGACACAATGGAGGAGCTGACACTCGTCCTGAGCAGCAGAAAGGTCTGGATTGTGTTAAAGGCAGTGGAGAAATCAAAAAATTATCTCCTCACAGACACTGAACACAGTCCAGGCGAGGCCAGACCGACCGCCAACTATTCACCACATGACATAAACTTTAAAAATAAAAATAAACTTTAAAAATACGTTTCATAAATTTGTATGTTATTCACTTGAACATATTAAATGGCCACACATGACTCGTCATTAACAATAATTTCATAATAACAACAAGTCAAATGGACTGTGCAAATGTATATTAAAAAAAAACAACTGGATTTATGATGCACATTTTGAAGTGCCTTCATGTATAATCGTTGGATGCTGTAAGTTATTTTCGGAGTATTTGCTGGGCTGATGTAGTTATTAAATTACATGAGAAATGTTCTTGTTTATGTGAACTATTTTTTGACAGGAAAACAGGGGTGAGGTGTGTGTGTGTGTGTGTGTGTGTGTCTTCCACACTTAAATGACACCGACAGACAAACTGTAATTCCTCTCCTCCCTCTCTCCCCACCCTCCTTTCCTCCCTCCTCTCTCTCTCCTCTCTTTTCTCCTCTCCTTTTTCCTCTCTCTCTCCTCTTCTCTCCTCTCTCTCTCCTCCCCTCCTTTCCTCTCTCCTCTCTTCCTCTCTCCACCCTCTCTCCCTCCTCCTCCTCCTCCTCCTCCTCCTCTCCTCCTTTCCTCTCTCCTCTCTTTCCTTTCCTCTCTCCTCCCTCCTTTCCTCCCTCCTCTCTTTCCTTTCCTCTCTCTCTCTCTCCTTTCCTCTCTCCTCCCTCCTTTCCTCTCTCTCTCTCCTTTCCTCTCTCCTCCCTCCTTTCCTCTCTCCTCTCTTTCCTTTCCTCCCTCGCGCAGCCGCAGCCCGTGTCACGTGACCTCGCTCAGATGTATCATGGCGGCGGAGGAGCTGCCCTCGGAGTTCGACGTGGTGCTCGTGGGCACAGGTACGGGCTCGGCTCCGCGTCTGCCCCGGGTCTGAGGCCGGTCCGGTGTCGGTCCCGGTCTGGTCCGGTCTCGGGTCCGGTCTCGGTCCGGCCTCGGTTCAAATCCATCTTTAAATCCTGCTGAATCAGAGCGGGGATGGGCGTTAGCTCCGTGCTAACAGACGCGTTCATTCTCAATGGGAGAGGCTAGCGGCTAAAGCTAACCCGCTGCTGATGTTTATCCCACATAAATCTCAGGAGGTTTATGGTTAACAGTATGAGCTACTGGGATTATACAACAGTTTTACTCCGAAACTAACGATGTACTATCAAATATGTGCAAAAAAGAGCCGAGAACGAAAGAAAACTGCGCTAGAAGATGATGTTTATTATGCGTCAAATGGAAAAGCGTCTGCGCCAATCAGAGGCCAGTGTTCGGATCACGTGACCTGAGGAGAGGAGAAGAGAAGGAAGAGGGTCAGAGGAAGAGGAAGAAGAGGAGGAGGGTCAGAGGAAGAGGATTAGAGGGTCAGAGGAGGAGGAGAGGGTAAGAGGAAGAAGAGGAACAGGGTCAGAGGAAGCAGAGGAGGGTCAGAGGAAGATGAGAAGGGTCAGAGGAAGAGGAGGAACAGGGTCAGAGGAAGAGGAGGAGAGGGTCAGAGGAAGAAGAGAGGGTCAGAGGAAGAAGAGAGGGTCAGAGGAAGAAGAGGAGGAGGGTCAGAGGAAGAGGAGGAGGGTCAGAGGAAGAGGAGGAGGGTCAGAGGAAGAGGAGGAGGGTCAGAGTCAGGAAGAGGAGGAAGAGGGTCAGAGGAAGAGGAGGAGAGGGTCAGAGGAAGAGGGTCAGAAGAAGAGGAGAGGGTCAGAGCACATTTAAAACTCCAGATTCAGTGAAATATTTTAATAATTCCGTCTCTAGTCTCTTGGCTCTTTGCTCCACAGAGCTGATTCAGCCTGAGCTTTCACTTTTATTTATTTATTTTTTAAATCTATGAGAAAAATTTAATCCAAACCCAGGGGGCGCTGTGGAGCTCTAAACACACTGATCAATGAAATATGAAAAAATAAATTCTCCTGAACCACGAACGCTCGGCCTGATCACCGGCTCTTCAAATCCTTCTGCGGGTTTGTGTGTCGCCGCGGTAACTGCTAAACATTCCACCATAGAGGTACATGAGAATGACGATGGACCCTTTCCGTCCGCGTGCTTCGGCTTTGGAACGAGGAGATAAAAGTCGCACCCATCAGTATCGTCTTTTAAATCACTTCTTAAGACTCATTTTTATCGGTTGTCCTTCCTTTAACTGGTTTTTAGCTTGATTTTATTTCTTATTTATTTTTATTATTCTGTTTTTTGAACTTATTTATTATAGTTATTCATTGAACTGTTTGCTTCATTGTCTGATTTTGTGCTTTCTGGATTCTGTTTTTATTGTTTTCTGTTGATTGTGTAGCACTTTGTCAACTTTGATTTTAAGTGCTTCTTAAATAAAGATTTTGTATTATTTTTATTTATTTTTTGTTTATTTTTTTTTTTGTGTTTGTGTGTTTCCTGGAATGTTCCACAGTATGGCATTAAACAAATATATCTTGCATCTAAACAATTATAGGAGATTTTATTTCTCAAAACTACCACAAAAGCGTGCACTGTGAGCGGCCCCTCCACAGAGCTGACCTGTAATTTGTCCTGGTGATGTGGTGTGTGTGCTTATCTCCATGGAGATCGTGACGTGGAACATTCCAGAAATAATAATAATAACTCCTAATAACTGACTGTATCTACACGGAGTCAGAGAGGAGTTGGACCCATCTGTCAGAAAAGTTCCAGAGTGCACCTTTAACTCTGGCTGCCTGTTGTTCCCCTCCAGGCCTGTGTGAGGCAGTGGTGGCGGCCGCCTGCTCCAGAGTGGGACAGAGAGTTCTGCACCTGGACAGGTGAGTGTGAGCGCCTCCCACAGGACACAGTGTGCAGTGTGACTCTGTCCTCCATCTGAAACACTTCTGCTTTTACTCTGAAAGGCCTCGCTCTGTCTTTAGTGTGCGCTTTTATTCTGAAAGGACTACAGCTCTGACCTCTGCCACGTTTACATGAGACCTTTAATCCTGAATACTAATCATTTAATTCTGACTGACCCTGCCTGTCCCTGCCTGTCCTGTCCCTGTCTGTCCCTGTCTGTCCCTGTCCTGTCCCTGTCTGTCCCTGTCCCTGTCCCTGTCTGTCCCTGTCTGTCTGTCCCTGTCTGTCCCTGTCTGACCCTGTCCCTGTCTGTCCCTGTCTCTGTCCCTGCCTGTCCCTGCCTGTCCCTGTCTGTCCCTGTCTGTCCCTGTCTGTCCCTGTCTGACCCTGTCTCTGTCCCTGCCTGTCCCTGTCTGTCCCTGCCTGTCCCTGTCTGTCCCTGTCTGTCCCTGTCTGTCCCTGTCTGTCCCTGTCTGTCCCTGCCTGTGCCTGTCTGTCCCTGCCTGTCCCTGTCTGTCCCTGCCTGTCCCTGTCTGTCCCTGTCTGACCCTGTCTGACCCTGTCTCTGTCCCTGTCTGTCCCTGTTTGTCCCTGTCTGTCCCTGTCTGTCCCTGTCTGTGCAGGAGGAGTTATTACGCCGGGGACTGGGCGAGCTTCTCGTTTCCTGGGCTCCTGTCGTGGATCCAGGAGCAACAGGTAAACAAACTCTCTGAGCTTTAGCGTTTGGGCTTTTTGGGCTCAGTGCGCCTCATGGTTGCTATGGTAACAGTTATAATCGAATATAATTTAACTTAAAGGAAAACTGACTCTAGTGAGCTGTAAGCAGAGCTGGAGTTGTGTTGGAGTCTCTTTATTATCAGTCTGTTTACATCTGCAAAGCTCTAAATGTTCTCTTCCACCTTATGATGTCATGAAGTGGTGGAATTCAAGTGAGCAGCTCCTTTTACCTTTTGTTCACACATAAAAGTCTGTTCTGAGCGTGTGGAGCGTGTTCTGACAGAGCGGCGTCCATGTTGGGACTGGACACAGAGCGTCTCCATAAGAATCATTTAGAGCGCGAACAAAAGTCACGCTTCACTTTTCCACAGATTTGAGATTTTTTACCAACACAAACTGGAAATGTTTTATACCAGTGTTTCCCAAAGAGTGGGTTGCAATCCTCAGATGGGTCGCAAGAGATTTTTTTTGGGTCACCTTATCACGATCTGCATGTCTGCAGTTTAAAGTTCTGACACAAGAGGGAGCGAGTGAGTCAGAGAATTCTCTTCCAGTTTTTCTGGTTCAGTTGAATGTTGAAAAGAAAAAGAAATGTTCTATATTTAATGTCCAAATATTTGACTTATGGATCCTGTTATTGCTGCTTCAGTTTCTGTTGTTCATTGTTTAAAACTTGAGTAATATTAATAGTTCAGAGACACGATCACTGTCAATAATAAAATATCCTCATGAACGCTCAAATCCACCTTTATTTTGTGATTTACGAATAATGTCTATTGACTTGTCGTGAAGTCTGTGACATTTAAATTATGAGGAAACACTGTTTTATATGATAGAGCAAGTTTACAGTTTTTATGTTCAGAAATAACATTTTTATAGCCACAAGTTTCACCAGATTATAAAGCTAGAGCTGTTGTAGTGCGCCCTCTAGTGGACGCTGATGTTTATTACACTTAATGAATTCACCTCAAAACGGTTTTAATCAAATAATTTCTGCACGATGAGGACTGAGATCAGCGGGAACAATAGTTTTCTGTCACTCCTGTTGAGTTTTGTGGGTTTAAATCTCTTTATTACCAATATAAACCTTATTTTGTGTCTTCACTGGATTAAACTGTGACTAAACTCACACACGTGGAGCAGGAAATGAGTGAAACGATGGTGTCCAGACGTCCCTGTTTACTTGAGACAGTCTCAGTTTTGAGCCTGTGTCCTCTGTCCCAGCAGATTTATTCAAAACCACTGATTTGTCTTAGTTTTATACAAGAAATGTCTCAGGTGTCTCTATTTTTGACCAGTTTGATCCTGCCAACAGTAAAGAGAGATATAAAGTGGCATTTGTTTCAGTAAAATACAGAAAAGCTGCTTAAAAACAACCAAAACACAAAGAAAATGTGACTGTACTGACTCACATGTTCGTCATGAATGAGCCGAGTGCTGAACAGTTTTCCTTCATCACGCACTCGATTCACAATTTTATTATCACCAATCTCCACAAAAATGGGGATGTCTCAGTTTTTTATGTTGAAAATCTTGTCAGCGTGAGTGAAACTGAACTTCACCTGTGAAAGGATGATCTGTTTTGTTTTGCTGCGTTGTTTTTAAAGTTAAAAAGTCCAAATAAATAAAGTTAAATCTCTCTGTGTGTCTGCTCTCCTCCTCTCCTCTAATTGGTCACATCTCTGTGTCGTAGGCGGAGCCAGAGCCTGAGCAGCCTCCTGATTGGTCAGCTCTGCTGCAGGAGGGGGAGGAGCTTATTCATCTGAACCAATCATATTCATCCATCAGTAACCTGCAGGTGCACTGCTACGTCAGGTACAGCACCTGTCAAGAGCCAGGGACTGGACCAGGACTAAACCAGGACCAAACCAGGACTGGACCAGGATTAAACCAGGTCTAAACCAGGACTAAATCAGGACTGAGGTTTGTGATTTCATGGTTTTGCTTTTTGACTTTTGTTTCAACAGTGAAGAAGAGGAGCCACCACCAACAGAGAAGAAAGAAACAGAAACAGGTGAGAGAGAGAGAGAGGGAGGGGAAGAGAGAGATGGAGAGAGAGGGGGGTGAGAGAGATGGAGAGAGAGGGGGGGTGAGAGAGATGGAGAGAGGGAGGGGAAGAGAGAGATGGAGAGAGAGGGAGGGGAAGAGAGAGATGGAGAGAGAGGGGGGTGAGAGAGATGGAGAGAGGGAGGGGAAGAGAGAGATGGAGAGAGAGAGGGGGGTGAGAGAGATGGAGAGAGAGGGGGTGAGAGAGATGGAGAGAGGGAGGGGAAGAGAGAGATGGAGAGAGGGGGGGGTGAGAGAGAGGGAGAGGAGAGAGAGAGAGAAGAGAGTCAGAGAGAGAGAGGAGGAGGAGAGACAGAGAGAGAGATGAAGAGAAAGAGAGGAGAGACAGAGAGGGAGAGGAGAGAGAGATGGAGAGAGGAAGAGGAGAGAGAGGGAGAGGAGAGAGAGAGAGAGAGGAGAGACAGAGGGAGAGGAGAGAGAGATGGAGAGAGGAAGAGGAGAGAGATAGAGAGGGAGAGGAGAGAGAGAGAGGGAGAGGAGAGAGAGAGATGAAGAGAGGGAGGAGAGGGAGAGAGCGAGAGAAAGAGAGGAGACAGAGGCATGAAAGTCTCTTACCTTTCGTTGATATTTGCTGTTTTGAAGGTGACCTACATGAATCATGTAGATTTTAATGAGACAAGTTTGGGGGGGGCATGTCCTCAGTGTGTGACTTGTCCACAGCTGCGTGTGTCCTCGTGCAGGTGAAACTTCTCAAAACAGACTCCCTGTACCTGTCCATCTGCCTCACATCAGTGTCCTCGTCCTTTTCATGCTCTCAAGACAAAACGCGAAGCAAAAACTCAACAAAATGTCTGCTTCAGGGTCAGTGCAGCAGGTGTGGCTGAAGTTTGTCTGATAAAAGTACACAAACACATCTGTGTTTGTCACATGTGTGTTTGGTTTGGTAAATGTGCAGAGGCTAAATCCCACTGCAAAACCATGGAAAGAATGGAACTCCAGTTAGTAACTTGATAAAAAAAAAAAAATCAGGTTTAAAAATCCTACACACTTTATTCACTTTGTTCACAGTTTGTCAGTAGAAATTCTCTTAAAGAAGAGCTTCTCAAACTGTCGGAGAGTGTTTCAGTGCAGTGCAGTTTGTTTTGCCTATTTTATACCTAAATGAACATTTATTAAATCAAATGATGATAGATTTATAAAAACATTGACATAAATGTGCCAAATTATCTGTAAAATACAAATAAAGAAATAGAAAATGACAAACCCTGACCTGTTTTCAATGCCTGAGTTTGTGTTTTTGTGTTTGACATTTGTTTTGTTTTTTCAGATGCTTCTGCTCCAGAACAAACTCAGACCCAGGTCAGTCCACTCCTGACCTCTGACCCCCTGACCTCTGTGGAGCCCCCTCACTTCATCTCCTCACTCTGCCCTCCCCCACAGGTCCCAGAGAGCCAATCAGAGCCCTGCGCCGAGTCTGAGAGCCAATCAGAGTCCTGCGCCGAGTCTGAGAGCCAATCAGAGCCCTGCGCCGAGTCTGAGAGCCAATCAGAGCCCTGCCTTGAGTCTGAGAGCCAATCAGAGCCCTGTGCCGAATCTGAGAGCCAATCAGAGCCATGTGCTGAAACTGAGACCCAATCAGATCCCGACGCTAAGACCGAGAGCCAATCAGAGCAGAGGAGGCTGACTCTGGCGGATTTAGTGAGAGAAGGACGACGCTTCAACATCGACCTGGTGTCAAAGGTTAGGGAGGGCACCTGACGCACGGGGAGGGCACCTGACGCACGGGGAGGGAGGGCACCTGACACACGGGGAGGGCACCTGACACACGGGGAGGGAGGGCACCTGACACACGGGGAGGGCATCTGACTTTTTTGTGTTTCTTGCAGCTGCTGTTTTCTCGCGGCTCATTGGTCGATCTGCTCATCCAATCAAACGTCAGTCGCTATGCAGAATTCAAGAACGTGAGCCGCATCCTCACCGTCCTCAACGGCAATGTCACCCAGGTACTAAACCAGGACTAAACCAGGACTAAACCAGATCTAAACCAAGACTAAACCAGGACTAAACCAGAACTAAACTGGGACTAAACCGGGACTAAACTGGAACTAAACCAGGACTAAACCGGGACTGAACCGAGACTAAACCGGGACTGAACCAGAACTAAACTGGAACTAAACCAGGACTAAACCAGGTCTAAACCCGGCTCTGTTTGGGTCTCAGGTTCCGTGCAGTAGAGCAGACGTGTTTTCCAGTCGGCAGCTCTCTGTCGTCGATAAGAGGAAGTTAATGAAATTCCTCACTTCCTGTTTGGACGAGAACGACCCGCCCACAGGTGAGAGCGGCCAATCAGAGCCCAGACAGAACCACGCGGGGCAGGAGCCGATGTGAGGCTTAAAGCTCCACTGTGTAACTTTCCCGTCTGTGTGCAGAGTTTGTGGGACGCCCGTACATGGACTTCCTGGAGCATCAGTCTCTGGGGGCGGAGCTGCGACACTTCCTGTTTTACTCGATCGCCGGGGCGACGGAGGACACGCCCACGGAGGCGGGGCTGGCGTCCACGCGTCACTTCCTGCGCTGCCTCGGTCGCTACGGCAACACGCCCTTCCTGTTCCCCGTCTATGGACTCGGAGAGATCCCACAGTGTTTCTGCAGGTCTCCTCCTCCCTCCTCCTCTCATTTCTCCTGTCTCCTCCTCTCTTCTCTCCTCTTCTCTCCTCCTCCGCTCTTCTCTCCTCTTCTCTCCGCTCTTCTTTCCTCCTCTCTCCTCTTCTCTCCTCCTCTCTTCTCTCCTCCTCTCTTCTCTCCTCCTCTCTTCTTCTCTCCGCTCTTCTCCTCTCTTTTCTCTCCTCTCCCTCTTCTCTCCTCTTTCTCTCCGCTCTTCTTCTCCTCCTCTCCTCTTCTCTCCTCCTCTCTTCTCTCCTCCTCTCTCTCTCCTCTCTCTCTCTCTCTTCTCTCCTCCTCTATTCTCTCTTCCTCTCTTCTCTCCTCTGCTCCTCCTCTCTTCTCTTCTCTCCTCCTCTCTTCTCTCCTCTTCCCTTCTCCTCTCTCCTCCTCTCCTCCTCCTCTCTTCCTCCTCTCTTCTTTTCTTTTTCCTTTGTCTCCTCCTGTCTCTCTCTTCTCTTCTTTCTTTCCTCCTCTCTCTCCTCTTCTTTCCTCCTCTCCTCTTCTCTCCTCTCTCTAATCTTCTCTCCTCCTATCTCTCTTCTCCTGTCTCTCTCTCCTCTGCTCTCCTCCTCTCTTCTCCCTCTTTTCTCTCTTCTCCTCTCACTCCTCCTGTCTCTCTTCTCTTTCTTTTCTCTTTTCTCTACTTTCTCTTCTCTTTCTTTCCTCTCTCCTCCTGTCTTCTCTCCTCTCTTCTCTCTCTTATCCTTTCACTTCTCCTCCTATCTGTCTCTCCTCATCCTCTCTCTTCCTCCTGTCTCACTCCTTTCTCTGTCCTCCTCTCCTCCTCCTCTCTTCTCTCTCTCTTCTCTTCTCTTCTCACTCCTCCTTCTCTCCTCCTTCTCTCTTATCTTCTCTCTCTTCTCCTTTTCTCTTCTGTCTCTCTCTCCTCCTCTCATTCTTCCTCTTGTCTCTCTTTTTTACTCTCTTCTCTCTTTCCTCTCTCCTTCTGTCTTCTCTTGTCTCTCCTCTCTCTTCTCCTTTCACTTCTCGCTATCGCTCTCTCCTCTTCCTCCTGTCTCTCTCTCTCCTCTCCTCTCTTTCTCTCCTCTCACCTGTCTCTCTCTCCTCATCCTCCTTTTCCTCCTCCTATCTCTCTTTCTCTCTCTCCTCTTTTCTCTCTTCTCTCTTTCTGTCGTCTTCTGGGTGTTTATAGCGCCCCCTGTGTTGTTTGTGTGTGTGTTGTGTGTGTGTTTGTGTGTGTGTGTTGTGTGTGTGTGTGCGTTGTGTGTTCATAGTTCCCTCTGTGTGTATATGTGTGTATGTTGTGTGTATAGATGTGTGTTGTGTGTGTGTGTGTGTTGTGCGTGTGTGTATGTGTGTGTTTGTGTTGTGTGTGTATACAGTGTGTACGTGTATGTGTGTGTGTGTGTGTGTTGTGTGTTCATAGTTCTCTGTGTTGTGTATATGTGTGTTGTGCGTTGTGTTCATAGTTCTCTGTGTGTGTTGTGCATAGTGTGTTGTGTGTGTTTTATAGCTGTGTGTGTGTGTGTTTCAGGATGTGTGTGTTGTGTGTGTTGTGTGTTGATAGTTCTCTGTGTGTGTTGTGTGTAGTGTGTGTTGATAGTTCTCTGTGTGTGTGTTTCAGGATGTGTGTGTGTGTGTGTTGTGTGTTCATAGTTCTCTGTGTGTGTGTGTGTGTTTCAGGATGTGTGTGTTGTGTGTGTTGTGTGTTCATAGTTCTCTGTGTGTGTTGTGCGTAGTGTGTTGTGTGTGTTTTATAGCTCTGTGTGTGTGTGTGTTTCAGGATGTGTGTGTTGTGCGTAGTGTGTTGTGTGTGTTTTATAGCTCTGTGTGTGTGTGTTTGTTTCAGGATGTGTGTGTTGTGTGTTCATAGTTCTCTGTGTGTGTTGTGCGTAGTGTGTTGTGTGTTGGGTGTGTTGTGTGTTCATAGTTCTCTGTGTGTGTTGTGTGTAGTGTGTGTGTTGTGTGTTGATAGTTCTCTGTGTGTGTTGTGTGTGTTTTATAGCTCTGTGTGTGTGTGTGTGTTTCAGGATGTGCGCCGTCTTCGGGGGGATTTACTGCCTCAGACACTCGGCCCAGAGTCTGATCCTGCACAAAGACACCAACAGGTACTGCACCTGTCACTGCACCTGTCACTGCACCTGTCACTGCACCTGTCTCACCTGTCTCTGTGCTCCTGTCTCAATTAGACAATTTTTTTTTTTTTAAAAAGAACAAATATTTGTGAGAAATTGAAGGAAACTTGTGAAATAAAAATGGATGTGTCCTGTCTCCTCTGTCTTCTCCGGACTCACCTGCCTTTCACCTGCCTCTCACCTGCCTCTCACCTGCCTCTCACCTGCCTCTCACCTGCCTCTCTCACCTGTCTGTCACCTGCCTCTCACCTGCCTCTCACCTGCCTCTCACCTGCCTCTCACCTGCCTCTCACCTGTCTGTCACCTGCCTCTCACCTGCCTCTCACCTGCCTCTCACCTGCCTCTCACCTGCCTCTCACCTGCCCTCTCACCTGTCTGTCACCTGCCTCTCACCTGTCTCTCACCTGCCTCTCACCTGTCTCTCACCTGCCTCTCACCTGTCTGTCACCTGCCTCTCACCTGTCTCTCACCTGCCTCTCACCTGCCTTTCACCTGCCTCTCACCTGTCGTTCTCTGTCTGTCAGGTGTGTAGCTGTGGTTGACAGTCAGGGGCAGAGGATCAGCTGTTCTCATTGTGTCCTGGAGTCTGGACTTTTGGACCCTCCTCAGACCGAGACCAGGACCAGGTCTGGACCCGCTCCTCCTCAGGACTCGGCTCTTCTCAGACTTAGATCGAAAATTCTGAAGAAATAATTGTTTTTTTTCCCCCCAGGTCGACGTCCAGAGCTGTTCTCATCACAGACCAATCCATCCTCCCCTCAGACTCAGAACTGAACCAGGTCTGAACCAGGACTAACCCGGGACTAAACCGGGACTGAACCAGGACTAAACCAGGACTAAACCAGGACTGAACCAGGACTGAACCAGGTCTAACTCGGGTCTGTTTCCATGGTAACAGGTGTCTCTGGTCTCAGTCCCTCCTTTGGAGCCTGGATCTCCTTCGGTCCGAATCGTTGAGCTGAGCCCCTCCACCATGACCTGCATCAACGGCACCTGTGAGTATTACTACTACTACTACTACCACTACTACCACTACTACTACTACTGCTACTGCTACTTCTACATTTGTGGTCATACTGGTTTGTCAAATCCTGATCCTCTCAGAAGCTCAGAGTTCTGGTTTGTACTTGGATGGTAACACCAGGTGCCACAGGGGGGCACCAGTCACAAAAAAAATTGTCCTTATGTCCTTAGGCAAGGCACTTCACCCACATTGCCTAGTAGCCAGTGTCAGGAAGTACACCGGAAGTTTCATCACGTTTCCAAACATGGTTTGGGACATAAGGCTGAATAGAGACAATTAAGATCATCAACATGGAAATAACCCTCTCTCTCTCTCTCTCGCTCTCGCTCAGACCTGGTGCACCTCACCTGTCCGTCCACAGGCTCCGCCTACCAGGACCTGTTTCCCGTGGTAACCAGCCTCTTCAGGACCCCAGAGTCACCGGACCAGGGTGAGGAAGGGCACCTGACACACGGGGAGGGAGTGCACCTGACACACGGGGAGGGAGTGCACCTGACACACGGGGAGGGAGTGCACCTGACACACGGGGAGGGAGTGCATCTGACACACGGGGAGGGAGTGCATCTGACACACGGGGAGGGAGTGAACCTGACACACGGGGAGGGAGTGCACCTGACACACGGGGAGGGAGTGCACCTGACACACGGGGAGGGCACCTGACAGGTTTAGTCTTGGTTTAGTCCCTGTTTACATAAACAGTTTGGTATTTGTGTGTAAAATGAGATAAACAGTTTTAGGAGCCGACGCGACAAAAGTGCGACCAGTGTTTCCCTTTTGCTCTGATGATGATGATGACAATGACGCGTCAGAGCAGCAGTCGCGTTTCTTCTGGTGAAACACTTTTTCATGTGTTTCATTTTCACACAGCTGATGTTTCAGATCCATGAGCAGAGTGACGAGCAGATCGTTTGTGTACATTTGTGTCTTGTTGATAACGTGTAGGTGGATGAATGCACTTTGGCCGTTTACACTGAAGTCACATGTCAAAAGATCAGATATGTATCAGTTTTAGGAGCACATATCCAAGTGTCCTGGGTCACATTTGAAAAAATCAGATCTGTGTGGTTCAGACTGTCATTAAAAGATCAGATACAGGAACATAGAGGCCAAAAAATCGGATTTGGGCCACTTCAGGCTGCAGTGTGAACGTAGTTCAACTCTGACTCTCTCTCAGGAGGTCCGTCTGTTCTCTGGAGTCTGTACTTCAACATGGCGGCCGGGTCCTCGGAGGTCGAAGGTCAGACTGTGCCCGTGAACGTGCACGTGGGCACCGCCCCGGACTCCGCCCTCGGTCACGACCTCACCATCACACAGGTGACGCTAACTGTAGGCACTGCCCTGTCTGAACGTCTGTTAGACTTTAATCTGAGCTTTATAACTCCAGACCAGAGAGAACTGACCTACAACAAGCTGAGTCTGAGCCTGGTTTAGTCCTGGTTCAGTCCTGTTTTAGTCCTGTTTTAGTCCGTTTTAGTCTTGTTTTAAGTAAGTAAGTAAGTAAGTCTTTATTTATATAGTGCTTTCACAGACATTTCTGTCCCCAAAGACACTTTACACAACATTATTCAGCATTATTCATTCAGCATTCATTCATACAGCATTATTCATTCACTCTATACCTGGTGATGGTAAGATACTATTGTAGCCACAGCTGCCCTGGGGCACACTGACAGAAGCGCAGCTGCCATGCCACTCGGCGCCATCGGTCCCTCCGACCACCACCATCACTGACACACACACCACTTTCATACTAGGCAATGTGGGTGAAGTGTCTTGCCTAAGGACACAATTATTGAATTGTTTGTATTTAACTGACCTTGACTATCAACTGTTTATGGAGACCTATGCAGCATGTTTTAGTCCTGGTTTAGTCCTGGTTTAGTCCTGGTTTAGTCCTGGTTCAGTCCTGGTTCAGTCCTGGTTCAGTCCTGTTTTAGTCCTGGTTTAGTCCTGGTTCAGTCCTGGTTTAGTCCTGGTTCAGTCCTGGTTCAGTCCTGTTTTAGTCCTGGTTCAGTCCTGGTTCAGTCCTGGTTCAGTCCTGTTTCAGTCCTGTTTTAGTCCTGGTTCAGTCCTGGTTCAGTCCTGTTTTAGTCCTGGTTCAGTCCTGGTTCAGTCTTGGTTTAGTCTTGGCTGAAACACATGAATGAACCTTTTTGTGTGTGTGTGTTTTTAGGCTGAGAGAATTTTCCAAAAGATCGTTCCAGGAGAAGAGTTCTGTCCTCCAGCTCCAAACCCCGAAGACATCATCTACGAGCCGGAGACTACAGAACCTACGGAGACTACAGAACCTACGGAGACTACGGAAATTACGGAAACTACGGAAACTACAGAGACCACGGAGACTACGGAAACTACGGAGACTACGGAAACTACGGAAGCAGAGCCGGGAAGTATCTCGGAAAACTGTCATGAGACTGAGGAGAAAGAAAATCAACAAGATGAGTGAGGGAAGAGGAAAGACTTAGGCCTTGTTCAGTCCTGGTTCAGTCCTGGTTTAGTACTGGTTTAATCCTGGTTTAGACCTGGTTTGGACCTGGTTTAGACCTGGATAAGGTTTAATCCTGGTTTAGACCTGGTTTAGACCTGGTTTAGACCTGGTTTAGTCCTGGTTTAGACCTGGTTTAGACCTGGTTTAGTCCTGGTTTAGACCTGGTTTAGTCCTGGTTTAGACCTGGTTTAGACCTGGTTTAGTCCTGGTTTAGACCTGGTTTAGTCCTGGTTTCATCTTGTTGAGGCGTCGCTCAAATTTGTGCTAAAATATTTTAAAATGCCTTTTGTTTTTATTGTTTGTTTTTTTGACACTGTAAAAAATAAAAATTTAAACAAACATGTGGGTCACCTGTCACTGTTCACCTGTCACTGTTCACCTGTCACTGTTCACCTGTCACTGTTCACCTGTCAGAAGAAGAGAGGAACAAAGGAGAGGATTTTGGTGTGAATTATTTCCGTCATAATCCAAAGAATTCAATTAAAAAACATTTCTTCATGTTCATTTGATTCATTTGCACTGAAATGTATTTCCCGATGTTTATAAACTCTTATTACTATAAAACCATGAATTTAAACAAAGGAACTTCTGATTCGATATATGGTGATGGTCCACAATATTATCGTGTGACTTCTGATGATACCATATCACGATATTTCAGTTAATGTTACATCCCAACTTCTACAGTGTTAGACTTTTTAAAAATCGTCACTGTTTGAGTGTTAAACATGTTTGATTTGTCAGATCAGATCAAAAACGGGATACGAGACATTTAATGTGAGTTTTATTTAAACACAATTTGACCATAAAAAGCTGATTTGTCTGAACTCCAACAGGTGATGATCTGATCTGTCCGTTAAACACGTCCCTCTGAAGAACGGTACAGTCACAAGATAACGCTAGCATTAGCATTAGCATTTGCATTTGCATTTGCATTAGCCAACATCATCGTCAGTGAGTGCTTTTTATTAATTTATTTATTATTTTTTACTGTTAGGTAACTTTTTTTTTATTATTATTATTATTATTATTATTATTATTTCCCAGCAGTGTTGGGAAGTAACAGATTACATGTACCAGAGTTACGTAATCAGAGTACAAATTATGAGTAACTGTATTCAGTTACAGTTACTGTTTCAGTGAGTGGTAATTGGATTAGTTACTTTGTTGAAATAAATGGATTACACAGAGGTATTTTCTTGTTTTTTTACATTTTGGGCTATATCCCCCCTTTTTTTTTTTCTGTAAATCCACTCATTGCTGGACACTAAACCAGGTCTAAACCAGGACTAAACCAGGATTATCAGGTCTAAACTAGGTCTAAACCAGGATTTATCAGGATAAACCATGCTGCGTGGACCATGTCTCCTCCTCTTCTATCAATAATATTATTTAATTATTTTCTTTTAGCAGACAAAACTTCTCATGTGAAGATTTCCTCGTCTTTGCTTCTCTACAGAAAATCAAGTAATCCAAAGTGTTTTGGTGTATGTAATCTATAATCTGTAGGGGAATACATTTTAAAAGTCACTTTCCCAACACTGCTTCCCAGATACAAACGAAAATGCACCATACAAAAATCACATCTAAATCTAGTAAGAAAAACAAACAAACAAACAAACAAATCGCAGACGTGAAGAAAAATCTAAACAAAAATACATTCATGAAAGAACCATGGGGGCAAATCCTAAAGCATGTAATCAAAGGAATAAACTGACATCATTCACAAAAACAGAAGAAACCCAAGTTCTCTTTTTTCAATCAGGTTCAATGAGTCAACAAACATTCTTAGGTCATTACTAAAGTACGTTATATTTGGTTTTACCTTAAAACATCGACATTTGTGCTCGTCAGTGAGTGTGTTTACCTGCGCGCTGAGAAACCGGGACACTCATGTCGCTGTGACATGATCAAACACAGTTGTAGGAGCTGTTTGCTTATTTTGTTGATTCTAAAATTAGTTTATTATTTTTGTTTGTTTAGTTAGTTTACTAATGTAGTTTTGTTCATTTGTATAATATATTTTTTGGAACTGGAAAATAAATCTTGGAAATTCATCTCTGGTCATGGACATTGATTTATACTGATTTATAAACCACAAACCCACGGTGCCCAAAAGTGATTTGAGTGATGTTTAGTTCTGAGTTTGCTCATCGCTTTTGTTTGTTACTTTTATTTGACAAATAGTCATTACAGGAGTGTCCCAGTTTCTTGACATAAACTTACAAATGCACAACCGCAAAAATTTACTTGATTTAAATTAATAAACCAAGAAAAATACAAACCATGAGCTCCTTTAGCAGAGGAAGCTCGACAGGTTTAAAGAGAATCAGGGTTAGCCTTATCATCAGAAGAGCCTCTAGTCAGAAAATCCATGTTCAGGTCGTGTTACAAAATGTTACAAATGAAATTGTATTTCAAGTTTTAAATATTTTAAAAAGTAAATATTAAAAGTAATAAATATATTAAACCCTTAAAATACAGCAAAAATGTTTGAGGAAATAATGATCTGGGTGGAAATGTCTGTCTTAAGTGGAACAGGGTTAATAATTGTCTGATTTTCAGCCAACAACTTGCAAAATGTTCAGTAATTCGAGCTCTACAACCTTCATTTCAATTTAATTTTAAATCTTTTTCTTTTAATATAGCATTGGTGGGTTTGTAAACCAACAAATTAAGTAATGCTGCCCTTAACTAATGCTGTTATGCATGATTATGTGTTTTCCTGTCAGTATCTTTAAAAATGTTGATGTTGCAGCCATTTTTAATTGGTAACATCCAAAAGTTTATTAATTCTTCCCTGATGTCCAGGGATTATTCCCTGTTGCTTTCATCAAATATACATTCAATTGTTCAAGAGAAATGTTGCTGACAAACCAACAGAAGAGGTCATGATTTTCTGACTAGTGGGACCTCTGATGATAAGGGTGGAACCAACAGGATGTGCCACATTATTCAGATCTGTGTTTTCATGTGTTTCCTCGTCACAGTTTATATTTACAGTGTGTTTTATTCACACATGTTTAAAACAGCTCAAAACTTCAATCTTAAATGATCTCAGGAGTTCATATTGTGAAACATTTGAGTTTTACACAGAAAGTCTTTTCAGAGAAACCTGATGCAGATAATTCTGCTCTGATGAAGCAGACGTGAAATCCCCTCGAGTCGTGACAAAAAAAACAGAAGCGGAAAAAGAGCAGGTCTGTTTAAAGCTGAACTTTGTCACTTTTCTGCTGGAGGCTCCATCAGACGCTTGAAATATTTAATGAAATATTGTTTTGTCTAGAATGTTCCACAGTACAGCATTAAACCTTTCTATTTCCATGGAGACAAAACCAGACCAAGTTCCAGGTTCCAGGAGAGGCGACCCCACTCACAGTCACAATGTTGTTGTTTTTTTGTTTGTTTTTTTAGGTATTTTTGAGTTTTAAAATCACCTGTAATTGAATAAATGTAAAGTCGAGCTGTTTAAAGTCACACTGTGGAACATTCCAGACAGAGCACTGATGTCTCCATAGAAACATGGACCCTCCACCAGAGAAGTTCCACAGTGCAGCTTTAAGCTCCTGTATCACACAAACAAACTCCTGTAGTGTCAAATCTTTTTTTTTAAAGTCAAATTTACTCGGAAAATCTCAGAAACTGTTTGAAAAATGTGACTGAAGTGAATCTGAGAGGCTGAAGCTGAAGCTGGAGTCGTTCCTCAGTGTCGTGTTCAGTAAATTCCTCTTTCATGTAACGAGGCTCAGGAAATTACGCTTAACTTTAATATTCATTCTAAGAACTTGATGATGTTGTGAAGCTGAGGCCATGAATCACTCAGTTCCTCAAATCTAAAATTTGTCGTAACATTCAATTTAAAATAAGCTCATCTTCCTCGGTAAAACCACAGAAACTGACCATCTTGAACTGAGCGAGTAAATGTTACGTTTATACAAAAGATACGGTAAAAACATAAAGTTGTAGATCTGCTTCAGGTACAAGGATCTGAAGATTTATTAGTCTTTAAAAAAAAAAAAAACCTAGCAAAACTTTAGTTCAGCTTAAGTTCAAAACACGTGTAAGAATAAAATAATAAACTCAATCAAAACCCAAACAAAAAAATACTGGAAGAAACAAAACCGAGGAACTAGAGACGGATCTGGGAGGATTCGGGAATGAGCGGAACGGCCTGGGAAATGGAGCTGGACTCTGCTGAAGTTGCTCGTGTCGTTCAAGTCGACCTGAGTCTAATTGACAAGTATCATGAGTCGTTAAGATCCACAAACTCGTAAGGAAAACAAGAGGAGAAACGTTCACAGTGAATTTATTACAATCAGAAGAAACAATCACAACAAAAATAGTTACTGTTCAAATCCAAATAAAACTGGGTCACGGGTACAAAGAGAAACCATCACAGGACTAAACCAGGTCTGAACCAGGTCTGAACAAGGACTAAACCAGGTCTGAACCAGGTCTGAACCAGGTCTGAACAAGGACTAAACCAGGTCTGAGACTCAGGAGAGCTGGTAGATGTTCCTCTGTGGTTCCTCCTGCTTCACTTCAGAACCTCCATCTGGAACAAAAACAGAGTGAACCAGATCTGAACCAGGACTAAACCAGAACTAAACCAGGTCTGTCCCCGGACTCACGGGCGTGCTGGGCGTGCTGGGCGTGCTGGGCGTGCTGGGCGTGCTGGGTGTGGTTGGGTTTGTCTTCGTCTGTAGTGTCTTCATTCTCATTCACGTTGGAGTAAATCACCTTTGGAAAGTTCAGAGTTTAAACTGAGGATTTTGAGGAGGTTCGAGCGCTCAGTGCTGATTGGCGCGTTACCTGCGAGCTCTGAGGAGGCGGCGTGTGATTGGAGGAGGGGAGGAGCCCGGAGATGATCTGACCAATGGCGTTAAAGGTCGGTCGTCGAGTCGGCTCCAGGTCCCAGCAGCACCTCATCAGATCATACCTGAAAAACACACGAATAAAACAAACGCACAAATAAAACCAAACACTCGTATAACACCCGTGTGTGTTACACCCGTGTGTGTTACACCCGTGTGTGTTACACTTGTGTGTGTTTAACACTCGTGTGTGTTACGCGCGTGTGTGTTACACCTGTGTGTGTTACACCCGTGTGTTACGCTTGTGTGTGTTACGCTCGTGTGTGTTCGTGTGTGTTACGCTCGTGTGTTTAACGCTCGTGTGTGTTACGCTCGTGTGTGTTACGCTCGTGTGTGTTACGCTCGTGTGTTACGCTCGTGTGTTTAACGCTCGTGTGTGTTACGCTCGTGTGTGTTACACTCGTGTGTGTTACGCTCGTGTGTTTAACGCTCGTGTGTTTAACATTCGTGTGTTTAACGCTCGTGTGTTTAACACTCATGTGTGTTACACCCGTGTGTGTTTAACACTCGTGTGTGTTACACCCGTGTGTGTTTAACACTCGTGTGTGTTACACCCGTGCGTGTTACACCCGTGTGTTTTACTCTCGTGTGTTTAACACGCGTGTGTTTTACTCTCGTGTGTGTTACACTCGTGTGTTTAACACTCGTGTGTGATGATGCGTTCAGATGCAGCGTTAAATAAAAAGTCGTGTTTCAGTCTGGGTTTTTCGTTCTGACTCTTGTCTCTTTTTGTTTTTGTTTGTGTCAGACTCACATTTCTTCAGGAGCAAAGTCCGGTCGCTCCATGTGGACTCCATCTTTAATCCTCCTGTAGAACTGAGAGTCCACGGCCATGTTTGGGTACGGACTACGACCTGGAACAAGAAGAGACAAGGACTACTGTAGTACTGGACTACTGTATATAGTACTGTAGTACTACAGTAGTAGTATTAGTACTGACCCATAGAGTAGATCTCCCAGAGCAGGACTCCGTAGGACCACACGTCGCTCTGAGTCGTGTAAACACAGAGGAAGATACTCTCTGGAGACATCCACTTCACCGGGAGACGCGCCTGAGGACAAGTACTGCATAAGTACTGCACTACTACAGGACAAGTACTGCATAAGTACTGCACTACTACAGGACAAGTACTGCATAAGTACTGCACTACTACAGGACAAGTACTGCATAAGTACTGCACTACTACAGGACAAGTACTGCATAAGTACTGCACTACTACGGTACAAGTACTGCATAAGTACTGCACACATGCGAAGCAGCTGGAGGAAGTGTTTGTGTTTCCTCGCAGTAGGACAGATTAAAGCTCCACTGCGGGACATTTATCAGGATTAAGAGTAAAGTCGTACGTTGCCCTTGACGATGTAGCTGTCGTCGTTGCAAATGTCTCGGGCCAAACCGAAGTCACAGATTTTGGCGACGCAGTGTTCGGTCAAAAGAACGTTTCTCGCCGCCACGTCCCGATGAATGCACTGTAAAAAAACACACACAACACTGTAAAAAAAAACACACGCACAGCACTGTAAAAAAAACCCACAACACTGCAAAAAAAAAACACTGTAAAAAAAAAAACACAACACTGTAAAAAAAAAACACAACACTGTAAAAAAAACACAATACTGTAAAATAAACACACAACACTGTAAAAAAACAACACTGTAAAAAAAACACAACACTGTAAAAAAAACACACAACACTGTAAAAAAACACAACACTGTAAAAAAACACAACACTATAAAAAAAACGCACAACACTGTAAAAAAACACAACACTGTAAAAAAACGACAACACTGTAAAAAACACAACACTGTAAAAAAACACACAACACTGTAAAAAAACACACAACACTGTAAAAAAAACACTAAAAAAAAAACACAACACTAAAAAAACACACAACACTGTAAAAAACACAACACTAAAAAAAAACCACAACACTAAAAAACACACAACACTGTAAAAAAACAACACTGTAAAAAAACACAATACTGTAAAAAAACACAATACTGTAAAAAAAACACACAACACTGTAAAAAAAACACAACACTGTAAAAAAAACACAACACTGTAAAAAAAACACAACACTGTAAAAAACACAACACTGTAAAAAAACACAACACTAAAAAAAAAACACAACACTGTAAAAAAAACACAACACTGTAAAAAAAAACACAACACTGTAAAAAACAACAACAACAACACTGTAAAACACACACACACACACACACACACAGCACTGTAAAAAAAAACACAACACTGTAAAAAAAACACACAACATTGTAAAAAAAAAAAAAAAAAACTACACTATAAAATCAACACTGTAAAAACACTGAACAGGACTAAGTCACTCCCCCTTCAGAGCGCGATCACAACAACTCCTGCTTGTCACTTCAGATTTGTCCAGTCGCTGTGTTCAGTCTCATGTTTTTGTGTGTTTATGGAGAGTTGTCGTGTGGGAGCGTGGGGGGGCATGGACTTGTGTACCCTCGTACAGGGTTTGAATAGGTCCCAGGAGAGATCACTAGATTACTCAGAGACACATGGATGTTCTAAAACCTCTTTAGGAAGGTTTTTGATGAATGTAAGAACGTGACAGAAAGAAAAGAAAATGTGGCTCTTGAAAATAAACAATTAAAGATTCTCAAACATGAATGACTCCAAATACAACTTCAGAAGGTCAGTGAGACGAAACAACTGGAACATGGAGAAAGATCTGAAAAGTCGACTTATGTGCACTGGAGACAATGGGAGGAGTAGTGGAGATCGAACCTTCGGCTTCAGAGTTTCTTACGTTTTTGGAGGAGAGGAAGTCGAGCCCCTGAGCGACCTCCAGAGAAAACCTCATGAGGTCCACGAGCGAGAGGCCAGGAACGTCTGAGGAGAACATCACAACAGAAACAAGTACCATTAAAGCATCCATGATCTGAATGATGAGAAAACAAATTTATTTAGTTGAAATCATGTTGAAACTTCTGTAAATATAAATTGTTTCAGATTTTTTGACAGAATTCTCCAGTGTGATGTGACTCCCTGTGGGGAAGCTGGCCCAAGTGGTCAAAATGAGAGTCCAGTGCAAAGTTGTCCTTCACCAAACCAAATTCTTTATTGGATCCTTCCAAGTCGTGGGCAAAATTATATACATATTTACAAAAAAGAACTGTGCTTAACTAAACAAAAGCAACCGAAAATAACGCAACAAAAGAAAATACCCACAGGCACCTGGCTGCATTGATGGTGACCTACCTACTGATTAAACTGCCTCTACTTATATACCCCTCGAGAGGAAGTCCCTCCCCCTGGGTTCACACCAACTTACGGGGAAAACTGTAGCAATTTCCTTTCCTTACTGGTGTGCTGCCTTAAATTATTTTCTGAAGCCTAATCCCCCTTTTAAACTGAACAGTGTCCAACTTAACTAGATACACTGAAACCAAAATTCTAATAACCCATTTGATAAAACAAAGAGAACCATTTCCGAGGCTTCCCTCCACATGGTCTGGGCCAACACCTCCCCCTGAGCCTATAAATATGGCTGCCAAAGGACACGCCCCCTCTTTTGTTCCCAGACCATGTGGAGTCACAGGTAAGGTGGTAAGTTTAAACAAAAATGAAGGGATATAACCAAATAAAATGAATTTAAAGTAACTGTGTGAATGTGATCAATTAAACAAAGACTAAATAAAACAAACCTGGGATAGTTATTATTTAGCTGTTTAGTTGATATAGATAGATGTAACTGAACTAAGGTGAAAAATGGGGACAAAGGCCCTCTTTGTCACACTCCCTAAAACAGAATGCTCTACTTTCTGTTGTTTTCGATTCAATTTTTCTATTTTATGAACATATTTTTCAACGTTTCTTCACAATGCAAAATGCTTCTAAATTTGATGTAAAACTAAAATAGATGCATCAAGAATTTCAAACTTCCGGTCATCACGCAATTCATACTGGGAAGGATTTTCCAAAAAAGTGAGCATCAAACCGCCATGTTTGTTTTCCCAGTGGGATGTGTCTATTGACAAAGTCAATCTTTTCAAGTCTTTTGAACCATATCACTTTTGTTTCTGGTTCTGATATTGTTTTTAGTTTTGGGATTTGGACATTGTAATTGTGTGGTTGTTGGATCCTAACAGCGGAAAACGACTCGAGAAATGTGTTTGTGAACTCCATAAATGCAAAAGTGAATCAGATGTGTGTGACTCAAACCTCAAACTCAAACTGTTTCTCTTCCCAACGGAACTGAAAAATAGTGAAAGGTGAAGGTGATGGGCAGGACTGATTCACAGGAAGAACCAAAAAGGAAACATTTGTCTGCCTAAGAAATCATCCCGAGTTTACAGAGAACATTTTGTATGTGGAGCGACAACAAAACAAAACCCCGATCCGTCGCTCAACCTTGATTATGAATTTAAAAAGTCAACGCCAAAGTGAAAGGCTCCAGCTGTTCACCAAGAAACACCTTCCACTGCAAAGAGACCAAGACGTGATGTTTCTGTAAAACCACAAGAACAAGAAAGTGCAGCTCAGTCTGATTGTCTTCTGCACCTCTCACTTAACAAACGGGATTTTATGAATTAAATTATATTTAATCAGAATTATGTAACCATCTGCACCGCTGGTTTGGCTCTTAGCAACGCTGTCAATCAAACCTGTTGCTCAGGCCAGTGGGAGGGGCCTCGGGGAGAGAAGGCGTCTGATTGGTCTGTTACATTGGTGTATGAATGTTGAAATGAAAGGCCCAGGGTCACGGAGAGTCAAGGTCAGAGGGAGGGGCTACGCTTTTACACAGACTGAGCTGGAGCCACAGTCGGTGGAGCCGGATAGCGCCCGTGCTCACTTCCTGTTGGTTTACCTGAGACTGGCTCCAGACTCGGTCCAGATCCCAGTCCCGGTCTCGGTCTCGGTCCCAGGGGCTTCATCTCCTGGTAGTCGGAGCCGCAGGAAATGCCACTGTCGCTGTGGGAGGAGAGCACACGCTGTGACATCACAAAGAGGAGCTGACTCTGGCCTCTGATTGGCCGGGACTCACCTGCGCGGCCTCTCCTTGGTCAGGTGGGGCCTGGTGTTCCTGTAGAGCACTTCCTGCTCCGACAGGAAGTGATGCGCCCTGGTCCGCAGGAAGTTGAGCAGGTCGCCGTGACGACAGTACTCCGTGATCATCAACATGGGACCTGAACAAAACCAGGACTAAACCAGGACTGAACTAGGACTAAACCAGGATTAAATCAGGACTGAACCAGGACTAAATCAGGACTAAAACAGGACTAAACCCGGTCTAGACCCGGTCTTACCTCCGGTGGTGCAGGCTCCCAGCAGGTTCACGATGTTCTGGTGGAAGCCGATGTGACTCAAGATCTTCAGCTCCGACATTAAAGCCTCTCGCTCCTCAGACAAAGCATCATCTACAACAACACAACAACACAACACATCAACACAACACATCAACACATCAACACAACAACACAGCACATCATCTACAACAACACAACACATCAACACAACACATCATCTACAACAACACATCAACACATCAACACAACACATCATCTACAACAACACAACACATCAACACAACACATCATCTACAACAACACAACAACACAACACATAAACACAACAACACAGCACATCATCTACAACAACACAACACATCAACACATCAACACAACACATCAACAACACATCAACACAACAACACAGCACATCATCTACAACAACACAACACATCAACACAACACATCATCTACAACAACACAACAACACAACACATCATCTACAACAACACAACAACACATCATATTTATATTTATATATATATATATATATATATATATATATATATATATATATATATATATATGTATATAGTATTAGGCGATATGTTTAATATTTTGTTTAAAATTGAATGTGTATCTACATAGACATATTTTTATCATGTTAAATGTGCTCATGTCACTTTATTTGAGTCGTGTGTTTGGAATTTGAGTTCAGTGAGTTGAAGTGACTTAATGGAGGTTTATGGAAGAGCCTGAAGATTTGAGAAAATGTGACGTCATTTTCTGCCCATGACTTTACATTAACCTAAAATACGTCTTGAGGCGCAGGGTGGGGCCGTCATGAAATCAAGTGATTGGTCTGAATAAACATTATCACACACCGGACCTATTGTGATTCAGCTGCTCTGTCCCACCCAGCCCCAACTTTGCACCAACGCCATGTCACTGCTACAGGCTCATGAACGGAGAACAACAGAACTGTGAGCTGTACAGTTATGACGAGTTCAACTTCAAGTCAAAGTGTGTCTGAGGAACAGTTTTAAGGGAGTAACATCTTTTCTCTTCAGCGGGACCCTTGTGCCAAGCAAGAAAAGAGGCATTAAGCATCTGGCTGTTGTGAAATCCTACGGCTCTCCACAAACCTCCACACAGGAGAGAGCGAGGAGAGACCCAGAGCAGAGACACACTGACACAGACCCCCCACCAGGACGCAGGGCAGTCACTCACTGCTCTGTTCAGCCTCTGTCCGCTCGTTTCTGGGCGTAAAAGTTTGACCTGGGCATAGCTGAGGGCTTAAGTCCACCTGGTGCTCTGGTGCTAATATGGACCAGTGTCACTTTCAGATTTCAGTGGGAAATGAGATTAAGACAAGTTTTACAACCAACTCGTGTCACAAACCAGCCACCACTGCTCACAACACATCCTCTCCTCTCTCTCCTCCTCTCCTCTTCCTCTCTCCTCCTCCTCTCTCCTTCTCTCACTCACGTTTGAGCATCTTCACAGCGACGGTCATCTGGTCTTCGTCGGGGTTCAGACCCAAAGCAGTCGCCGCCACAACTCTGCCGAAAGCTCCGGACCCGAGAACGGCTCCTGTCAGAACAAAAACACAGTTTAAACCCAACTCAGCTTCACCGGAAACACTTGGAGAATTTCCGATCTTTCCGATCGAACTAAAGGTAAACATAGTAACAGGTTTGATTGACAGCGTTGCTAAGGGACAAGGCAGCAGACCTGGTTTCGGGTCAGTGCTATAACTGCTGCCCTCGATGAGCTTCATTTGGAGCTGAACACTGTAACACTAACCCACACAGACTGTAGTTCTGGTTTAGTCCTGGTCTAGTTCTGGTCCAGTCCTGTAGTCCTTGTAGAGTCCTAATCGGGTCCTGGTCGTGTTCTGGTCTGGGTCCTAGTGGAGTCTTGGTGGAGTCACAGTCAGAGTCCTGGTCAGATCCTAGTTGGTGTGCTGGTCGTGTTCTGGTTGGGGTCCTGGTCGGGTTCTGGTCAGAGTGCTGGTCAAGGTCATGGTTCGGTTTGTATCATGTTCTGATATAGTTCTGGTCTAGTCCAGGACTAGACCTTTATTCCTTTTGTAGTCCTGGTGGAGTCCTGGTCAGAATCCTGGTCGGATCCTTGTTGGGGTCCTGGTGGAGTCTTGGTGCAGTCCTGGTCGGGGTCCTGGTTTGGTTTTGGTCATGTTCTGGTCTGGTTCTGGTTGGATCCTGGTCATGTTCTGGTTGTGTTCTGGTCAGGTTCTGGTGTAGTCCTGGTTAGGTTCTGGTCGGGTTCTTACCGAGTCGGAGTCGGTCTCGGGGGAACTCCCAGCGCTGGTCGTACGGCAGCAGAGATGGATCCACGAACGTGTAACTGTTCCCGTCAAAACTGTCGATGATTTTCCACCGGATCTCGAACCGCGGCTTCTGTGGATTCAGACCCAGACTTAGACTTAGACCAAGACCCAGACTCAGATTCAGACTCAGACCCAGACTCAGATTCAGACTCAGATTCAGACTCAGATTCAGAGTCAGATTCAGACCCAGACTCCAGACCCAGACTCAGACTCAGACTCAGACTCCAAACTCCAGACTCCAGACTCAGACTCTGAGGAGGATCTGAGGAGACCAGTTTGAAGAATAGCTCTGATTTAATGTGAAACATTTAAAGGGGACCAAAGGGGCGGAGTCACCTGTCTCCACTTCCACAGCGCCACCACCAGGAGCAGCAGCAGCACCGCCCCCACACAGAACGACCCGATCAGGAGCGGCCGGAAGAGGGACGACTGCTCACCTGGAAATACACAACACAGACACTGAACCAGAACCTGAACCTGAGCAATTTCACTTTCACCCGCTGACGTCAGACGGGCTGAGGGGGGCCTGGGGTTTAAAATGAATTTTCCAGCTTCTGATAAAAGAACTATCAGACATGAGTAGAAAACTGTAACCCACTTATTTTCAGTCAAATCATTCTGAGGAGAATCAGTTTATACTCCAAACCCACCAAAAATAAATAAATAAATAAATAATAATAATAATAATAAAAAATAAATAAATAAAATAAAAAATAAATAAAAAATAAATTAATTAATTTAATTTAAAAAAAAAAAAAAAAAAAAAGTATATTAATTCTGCCTGGGACACCTGCTATACTTATTTTTATATTTACCCTGAAAACTGTACGCAGAATTTTAAATTTGTCGTTCCTCTGTGGTCCATGTACTGTTCATTTATTTGAATTTCAATTAAGAATGAAAAACAATAAAATGGGAGAAGTGTTTATAACTTCATTTTTCTGTTTTAGTGTAAAAAAATAAATACAAAATTCAGCCTCTTCCAATATTAAATTTAAAAAAATATATTTTTTTTTTTCTAAACTTTGTTAAGTTAAATGGAGATAAAACAAAACAACGTAAATATTGTGCCTAATTTAACATGTCACCAAAGAATATATGTGTGTAGAATTTTTTTGTGTGAAACTTTGATACAATAAAGTGAGTCATTAAGAGTGCCCCCTGTAGGCGGTAGAGAGCGCCCCCTGTAGGCGGTAGAGAGCGCCCCCTGTAGGCGGTAGAGAGCGCCCCCTGTAGGCGGCAGGTGCACTCACGGAGCTGCAGGAGGCGTCGCGTTTGCCCCATGTGGTTCTCGGCTGAGCACACCACAGTGATGTCATCGGCGGGCGACGAGGGCAGGGTCAGAGGTCGCTCCACTGACTCCTCCGTGTCTTCAATCAGGTCCTCAGAATCATCTACGTCTCCGTCAGTCGAGCCCTCCGAGTCCATCAGCTCCCCGTCCTCACACCTGGAACAGACCCAGGTTAGACCTGCTTTAGTCCTGCTCTAGTCCAGGTCTGATCTTGGTCTTGGTCCTGATCTTGGTCCTGGTCTTTGTCTTGGTCCTGGTCTGTTCTTGGTCCTGGTCTTTGTTCCTGGTCTTGGTCCTGGTCTGTTCTTAGTCCTGGTCTTGGTCTTAGTCCTTTTCTGGTACCTGTCGGTGAGTCCGGGGCAGGAGGTCCAGGTGAGGGAGGGCAGAGGAAACCCGGACCCTCGACAGACCAGACCCGAGTCCAACCTCAAGACCTCAGCCTCCGGAGGGTCTGAAGGAACCAATCAGAGAGCAGCACAGGTTTAAACCGACCAATCACAGCCAGAGGAGCACGTACTACTACTACTACTACTACTACTACTACTACTACTACTACTACTACAGCTACTACTATACTAGTACTACAGCTACTACTACTGCTACTACTATGACTACTAAGTAAGTAAAGTTTATATAATGTTTCTCACAAACAAAAGATAAAAACAGAATAAGGAACATTCAGTCAGAGCCCAAAACCGGAGGGGGCGGGGCAAAACCTGAGGGGGCGGAGACACGTGGACATTTTCAGTTGAGTTTTTGAGCTTTTTAAAAACATCTACACCAACTACAGATGCCCTGCCCTGAATAGACAGGTGCAGACAGGTGCATACTAACAGACAGGTGCAGACTCACAGACAGGAGCAGACTAACAGACAGGAGCAGACTCACAGACAGGAGCAGACAGGTGCAGACTCACCGACAGGTGCAGACTCACAGACAGGTGCAGACTCACAGATAGGTGCAGACTCACAGACAGGTGCACACAGGTGCAGACTCACAGACAGGTGCAGACTCACAGACAGGAGCAGACAGGTGCAGACTCACAGACAGGTGCAGACTCACAGACAGGAGCAGACTCACAGACAGGAGCAGACAGGTGCAGACTCACAGACAGGAGCAGACTTACAGACAGGTGCAGACTCACAGACAGGAGCAGACAGGAGCAGACTCGCAGACAGGTGCAGACAGGTGCAGACTCAATGACAGGTGCAGACAGGTGCAGACTCACAGACAGGTGCAGACTCACAGACAGGTGCAGACTCACAGACAGGAGCAGACTCACAGACAGGAGCAGACAGGTGCAGACTCACAGACAGGTGCAGACTCACAGACAGGAGCAGACTCACAGACAGGAGCAGATTTACAGACAGGTGCAGACTCACAGACAGGAGCAGATAGGTGCAGACTCACAGACAGGTGCAGACTCACAGACAGGTGCAGACTCACAGACAGGAGCAGACAGGTGCAGACTCACAGACAGTTGCAGACAGGTGCAGACTCACAGACAGGAGCAGACTCACAGACAGGTGCAGACTCACAGACAGG